AAAATAATTATTTTATTTTATTGACAAAATATTTTAGTTTGTCTTGTATATTTTTTTCATTCGATCAGATAACATTTTAAGATGTTATATGGTCATATTACAACGTGCCCGTCAGATGTTACAATGTACCCCACCTAGGGGGCATATTGTAACATTTCACTTCCATTTTCTGAGGGTAAATAAAGAAAAAAGTATACACTGTAATCATGAAACAAAGCGACATATTTGTACTAGACAAGTGTAAAATTACTGTGGATTAAAATATTATATTCTGAACCCCATGTGGATTTACACAGACTGAGAAAGTCAAAAAGTGTTACTTTGTGCCCCGCTCTCACCTATTTTTCAATAGGCAAATGCACATATTTCTTTCAAAGCTCCTTTAGGCTGCATTTTATTCTTACAGGATGTTACACAAATACTGGATTCATACATGCTTATTGTTAACACTAATCCAAAGTTGGTTGAAATAATAATAATTAATTATTATTAATAGTTCTGTGATGATAACTATGTAAACTAAATCTGCCACAATGCAGATTATATGATAACAATATACTAGGCTACTATATGAAACGCTTACCGCTGTATATGGCATTATAATGTTTCCATACTGTTTGGAAACGAAACAGAAGGCTGTAGTATGCAGTATACTAGTATTTAATAAGACGGCGGTGTCGACTTTTAGAGCAACTTTTTAAAAAACGAATAAATAAATAAATAAATAATTCGCGATCTGATTGCCTTGCGTGGAAGTTTCTGACCGCCTATAAGATTTTAATGATTTTATTAGTAGATGAACTGACACTCACCATCTTGAGTTCTCTTTCGATCTGAACTGCCCTCTGGACTATGGGACCCCGTACAGCGTATTCCACGCGTTTAACGTTCGGGTTCATCGTGTCCATCGTCAGCACCCTGTCACGGTATTCACAGCCGTTCTCAGTCATTGTATCTCCGTGTATTCCTTTTCAGAGAATTTCTGGTGAAAAACCTGGTGATAACAGAACAGACGTGCAATACTCAAATAATACGGCAGTAATCAAGAACGTCATATGCATGCACATCCTTTGTTTTCCCCTTCTTCTTCTTTCTTCTTTCTTCTTTCTTCTTTCTTGGAGGAGACAAATTGACACGTGTGCGATGGCATCTATTGTATCCGTTAGTTTTCTTCGTCTTCTTCTTCTTCATCAGCTCTTGATTCTATGGTAGCCCATAGAACTTTTGAGAAAGTTATCAAATCTGGCACATAGATAAAGGACGCCTTTTAACCATAGCAAATTTGGGGCAGGGCTCCAAATCACTAGGCGGAGTTGGCAAATGCTAGGGGGGCCGTGCATCCATATGTGCGCTCAATAGATTATTTTTTATATATATAATAAAAAATTTTATTATGGCTGCACGATAAATCGAAATAAATATGGCTGAATGCGATAGTATTATCACGAAGGCTGCCATTACCGTTAACAGAGGCCAGAGACGCTAAACGCAAAGAGGACGTGCAAAATATTGGAAGAAAATCCTAAATAGTAAATTGGGGATGGGATTTATATGAATGTATCTGAATATTCATCAGAAAAGTTTAGATGGCAATTTTTTTTCATCTTACCTTCGTATAATGCTCATTAAAAATGTTTTTATAACCACAGGGCTGTTTACAGCGGTAACTAAGGAAACGCTATATTGCCGTTGTTCCATAAGCGCTGCTTTGTTTACAGCGGTAACTAAGGAAACGCTATATTGCCGTTGTTCCATAAGCGCTGCTTTGTTTACAGCGGTAACTAAGGAAACGCTATATTGCCGTTGTTCCATAAGCGCTGCTTTGTTTACAGCGGTAACTAAGGAAACGCTATATTGCCGTTGTTCCATAAGCGCCACCTGCTGTCAGAGAGTGAATCTGCGATCTCATTCATCCCGTCTGCTGTTTTTGTTTCGTGCAGATTTTTTATGTAGCATAATTTTACAAAGCTAAAGTCAGACCATTCTGATTTTGCTTAAAATTTAGAAATTATAGAGTCTAATTTAAATCAAAAACTGCTCTTGCTACATGAATGTAGCATCTTTGTTTGGATCATAGTCCAGATTTGGCCTATTACAGTTCAGCCTGTAATAGAGCAAATAAACATCTTGTTCATGTACACATATTTTCATTCTTTCCTGTCTCTTTCTTAAATTGCTAATTTTAAGAATGTTTGAAACGAAGTAATCAAGACATATATTAGTATTGCAATTTTACTTTAATTTGAATGTAATAAAATTAGATTCAATATTGCAGTGTAGGCTTATACCTTTGGATGATAACAGTAAAATTCTGTAATTTAAATAACTAGGCAGCTGACTTAATGTCAGTTTTTCGTGCAATAGTCTTATTTATATTGTATCATTTGTTTTATGCCATAAAACTATGCAGTTTCTGTGTGAATGATCTCTGGTGCATTGGCTGTGATGCAAGGGCGATGCAGCTATCTTGCCTAGGGCACCAAGCTGGTCAAGGCCAGCCCTGATTTGGAGTCTTTAACTCAAACCCTCTAGCACCACTAACTGTCCAAATTTGTGCTTTGTTTATGTTATTAACCATAAGGTCTAGAAATAAAAATAAATATTTTTTTCTGATTTCTTTGGCTCAAGATGATTCGATTTGTACCCTAAGAGGTCATGTTGATGTTGTCAATTTTCCATCATGAAAATGTTCCCGCCATTTTGAATTTTTTTGAAAAACCTGCTTTTTTCGAACTCCTCCTAGACCATTGGTCCATCTTTTGTAAAAATAAAACCAGATCATCTTCAGACCATACTGACAAAAAGTTGTCAAATTCAAGTTGATTAGTTAAACTGTTATCAAATAACGTGTGAACGAATTTCACAAAGAGCTTGCCAAACTGAATGTGAGGCTATATCTCCGCAGCGCTTTAGCCAATTCAGACCAAACTTGGTGTTATAACAACCATGACCTAAGGGTACCTGCATAGGGTACCCAGCTATTTAACACTACTTTTTGTCACATCACACTGACCACACCACATTAATCTGGAAACAGTGCTACCTATTGGTCCAAAGTGATAAACAATTAAACTATTAGTGATTGTATTTATGATTTTTCAGCCATTTTGACTAAAATCATATTAAAATGTCTTTATTTATTGTTGCAGCTGGTCTGATGCTCCCTGCCATGCTTAGGTCCTCATTTTGCCTCTGTTGTGCTTGTTCCTAAATGCGGCTTGCAGCTATAATTGTTTTTTTTTGTTGTTGTTTTTTTGACTGGAGACTAGTTGGAGATTCTACTTGTATGAATCATACAAAATTAGCTCAAACTTCAAGCCCATAATAAAAATAACAAAAAAAAAAAAAGCACTTTCGTTTTGGACCTGTCTCAAACTCTAACCCATAAATTTCAGCTTATTAAAATATAGTCATTTTTATAATCTTCTTCAATGTTGTTGTTTGGACTTCTGAGGAAGAAAGGAATTATGTTCAGAATTAGCAAAAAAAAAAAAAAGATAAAGTCTCAGTATAGAAGCGATTTCATCATTAATGACTAAATGTTATGTTCAACCATAGGGTAGACCGCATACAGTTGGAAAAGAGGAACAGTTGAAACACCTTAAATAACTTGTGTGCACATCACTCAAACAGTAGAATCCCACTGCTTTAGATGCGTCATGTTTCATTGTCTAAGAAAAACAACAGTCATACACAGAGATCAAATTAAAACAAATTTAAACAACTAACTTCTAGTTATAACTGATATAACTGACATTTGTAACATGAAGCAAATAAGGATATCATGGCAGTTTGAGAAATATACATGACGTTTAATGGGTACAGTTGAAACAGTGTTTCTTCATCATTATGCACATCTGAATATAAGGCTTTTTTTTTATTTTTTATTTTTTACTTTCAGCCGTTTTTAAGAATTATATATCACTTATAAATGATTAATAGTACTTATTAAAATGATGTGGTTTGTAATTGGTCAAATGTGCTTGGAAATAAATTATCAGAATATCAACTTGCCTAATCATTTTGCATGCACTGTAATTTTAATCTTTAATTGGGCTGTTGTTTTGTAAGCAAATTATACTCTAGCAGGAAAACCTGGGCATTGCCTTGAATAAAATGAAGAACTAAAATAAAAAAAGTAATAAACCAACATTCTTCAAAATATCTTATTTTGTTTTCAATGGAAGAAAGAAATTCATATAGGTTTGGAACAACAGGGTGAGTAAATTTAATTTTTGGGTCAACCGTCCCTTAAATAAGTTAGCAATTATGGAATTAAGGAAATCAGTCAGTTAACCACTTGATTAGAACTATCATTTTAACTCTATAGGCACCTTATTAAAAAGGGGACAATAATCTTGAAGCCTCTGTTCGGTGAAGGTTCAAGAGTCTAATATTTCTATTGGCTTTACTGTGGATCTGCTGTGTATAATAATAAAATGAAAAATGATATACAGTGGGTATAGAAAAGAATCACCTCTTCCCCCATTAAAATAACCACATTTTGTTGCTTTGCAGCCTGAAAAGAAGACGGACACGGTTTTTGTTTTATCCAGCTGTATTTACTCAGTGCAACTTATAACATCCAAGTGAAAGATATAACAACAAGAAGTCAGGGGAAAAAAAGAAAAACAGAATCACTGAGTTGGAAAAAGGATCACCCCTTGTGTCAGTATTTTGTTGAACCACGTTTTGCTTTACAGCCTTTAGTCTGTTGATTCGTCTCTACTAACTTTGCACATCTAGACATTGCAATATTTGCCCAATCTTCTTTGCAGAACTGCTCAAATTCAGTTAAATTTGATGGTGACTGTTTGTGGACTGCAGTCTTCAAGTCATTCCACAGATATCCGTGGGGTTTAAGTCTGGGCTCTGACAAGGCCATGCAAGAACATTCACCTTTTTCTCCTTTAATCACTGTGTGCTCAGTTTTGCTGTGTGCTTTGGGTCATTGTCATGCTGGAAGGTTTTTTTTCCCCCCATTGTCAACTTTCTGGCAGAGAGCAGATTTTCCTCAATAATTTGACAGTATTTTGTCCCATCCATTTTTCCTTCTATCCTGACAAGTGCTCCAGTCCCTGCTGCAGAGAAACACCCCCATAACAGGATCTTACCACCTCCATGCTTTACTGTAGGAATGCTGTTATTTGGATGATGAGCTGTATTGGATTTCCGCCAGACATATGGTTTGGTGTTGAGGCCAAATAATTAAATTTTTGTCTCATCTGACCATAACACCTTTTTCCATGTGGCCTCCGAATCTTCAAGGTGCATTTTGGCAAAGCTCAGTCGTGACTGCATGTGGCCTTTTTTGAGGAATGGCTTTTTTCTTGCAACCCCCTTTCTTGTGATCAGGGCCGGATTTATGCATAGGCATTCTAGGCACGTGCCTATGCTTGCTCGTCCAGGGGGGCCCAAACACAATGAAGAGATATATAATATTTCTGTTATACTATGGGATATCTACAACAGTAAAAGAACCAAAACCCCAGAAGACTAAATATAAAATATAAATAAATATAACAAACAATAGGGTAAAAATGAAAAACTATTTCCATGTCTTCAACCTTTTTTATGAACGAAAATAATGATTTCTCTCTCCCATTCTCTCTCACAGACGCACACACAGTACAGACACGCACTCGCACACACACGCAGAGATGCGGACAGAAACTTGTTGTCAGAGCTGCGGCTGCCCCGCAATTTTTCAATAATTTATCAATAAAATTGTTTCGCATTTCTCAGTAGTGAGGTTCTTGAAGCAGTTAAACTTAAAGATTCGCTATTAGTAGACGCTGCTGCTGAATACTGCTGAGAGACGCACAGACGCAAGTATTCACACGCACTTAACCTCTCTCTCTTTCGCTCTCTCTCTCTAAGCCTGCATATCAATGGCTCAAGCCTCTGTTATTAGCTCTAAAATTACGTTTTGGAATTTGCAACGGAAAGTTTGGGATGAGGTGCGTAAAAAAATAGCTACTTCAACACAAACAAGATTTCAGGACAGAAACATGTCAAATGTCTTGAAACAAATCATCTCAACAATTGATGTGTGATTGTGACTCCAGGCCATTAAAATTATTAGAGAAATAATGCGCTCCCGAAGTGGTTATGTGGCCACATTGCCGCACCTATATGGAATGGTCTTTCGCAAACAAATTAAGAACTACATTCGATTTTTATTGACTGAACGCAAGCGCTTATTGCGATAGAAAACACTGTAACAGTTTCCACTGATTAAGAAATATTTTTGTTTGCTTTGGTGGTAATATTAGGCCTATTATATTAATAGGTAAGGGGGGCCCAAAAATTTATTTAGCCTATGCCACGAAAAGAGGTAAATCCGGCCCTGCTTGTGATATTGTTGTCACATGCACACAATGACCACTCTTTGTCATAAATTCCTGCAGCTGCTTCAGTGTTGCTGTAGGCCTCTTGGTAACCCCTCTGACCAGTTTCCTCCTGGCTCTTTCATCCAGTTTGGAGCGACGTCCTGATCCAGGGAGGGTCTGTGTTGTTTTTTTTAAATACTTCCACTTCTTAATAATAGACTTCATTGTGCTTCTAGGCATTGATAAAGCCTTTGAATGTATTTGGTATCCGCCTCCTGACTTGTGACTGTCCACAACTTTATCCCGGAGATCTTTTGACAGTGCCTTGCCACCCATTGTTGATTGTTTGCTTCAGTTGCACTACCAATTTTTTTTTCTGACATGTTGGTGTTATATCTTTCACTTGAATGTTATAAGTTTCACTGAGTAAGTGCAGCTGGATAAAACAAAAACTGTGTCCCTCTTCATTTCAGGCTGCAAAGCAACAAAATGTGATTATTTTAAAGGGGGTGATTATTTTCTATATCCACTGTAGAACACTGCACATTTTAGTCAAATGTTAGTTTTAATGAACAATAACACCCACTATAAAAGTATACGTATACGTATACGTATAAAGTATAATAAGTTTGTACAATAGTAAATAAAGACAAGCAAACAATTTAGTCAAAAGTACAAAGGCAGTGCTCTAGTACAATGTTAAATTTAATACAAAATCTAAACTTATTAGTCTTAACTTTGCCCACAACAAAAACGATTTGCCCAGGAACAAAGATTGCTTATAATATAGGCTTTAGTTTAAAAATTTAATTATTTTGAAGAACATTCTGTTTGTTTGTAAATGAATCTTTTTTTGGATAGTTTTTCTTTGTGGTATAAAGATGATGTGGTATTTTTGATGTGCCAGTGCCAGATATAGCCCAGAGTCTCAACTGAGCAACATAGAAGTGAATGAGCAATTTTGTCTGATGACTTGCATTTGTGTCCTGGGGAAAAACAAAAAATCATTCCCTATCAACCTCTATAGTCAACATACTAATTATATATATTTTTTGGCCATTTGTTAGCAACTGTATTTTTTGAGACACAAAGGCTTTAAGTGGGCTATTACTGATGTATTTTAAGGTATAAAAAATAAGTGAAAATATCTTAGGCTTTTGTTAAGCACAGAACTTATTTCAGGTGTTTAACCAAAAACCCATTAAAAAAACCCTGGAACTTATTTCTGGATTTTAGGACCCATTCCTACAGTACTCCACTCGAGTCTTGCAGTCTCTACTAATGAGCTGATGAGATTAACCGTGTGATAGATGGGGAACCATATAAAATGTGTACTGATGGGACATCAGGACAGGTTTAAGAAGCACTGTTTTCAGTTATTTCTATATTAACATAACCATGCCTCATATTGCTCATATACATTTGTTCTTGGCCTCACAACATAAACAGGTTGTGGTCTATGAAAAACATATGAAGGAAACAGGGAAAAACTAATTTGTTTGTAATTCTGATTATATTCTGTGGTGATTTTCTTTGTTGCTACAACATTTAACTGCTGAGCTTGTGTTTTCTCAGAGTATGTTTTCATTACTGGAAGGCGTAATGTTGCTCTCTGCCATTCAGCTAATGATATGCTGGAAACATGCAAGAACTAACTTCTCTTTACTTCTAACTTTGCCATTTTTGCTCAACAACTTTTAAACTGTTGGTGTAAAAATGATTTTAGTGGATGTATGAAGTCAGTTCCCTTCAAATTATAACAGTAATCTCATCATCAGATTAACTTTTTGGATGTTCCACTAATGTCTGCAACCACAAAGTGTCACAAAAAGTTTTGTTATCATTTTCAATGCTGGTCCATTGTTTTGTCATTTCAAAAACAAACAAACAAAAACTTTCTAGACACACTCTAATGATATCAGTAATATTTGCAAACAAATCATGAAGTCAATTTTTTGTACTTTTGTAAATAATTGCACAGTACCTTATTTGATCACTTTTGGTCATTAATCTCTGTCTTCCAATTGTTTAATCTGATCTTCTTCTCTCTTTTCTGTGCACAGTTAAAAAGACATCTCCACCAATGTGAAGACCTTGTGTTCATATATGACATCAGAGGTTTTTTCCTGCCCACCCCTTTCATTCCGTTCTATTCAAGGAAAGTTTCCAAGACATTTCCGAGTCAACTTTGGTCTCTATGGATTGTACCTTCTCAGGAGAGAGTGATATTCGATCTTTGTAGACATGTGATGTTGACCCAGATGACATTCAGTTGAACAGAACGTGCTGCACTCTGACAAAATGTACAAATGCTGCAGTCCATCAGCATAAACTGTACCATATTACACATCTTCTTCAACAGCTGTTGCTAAAACATCAGCCATCAAAACACAGGGACCACATTCTAAAGATAACGCACAGCTGATTGTGACATGTTGGTTGTAGAATGGAAGGAGAGAGTTGAGGCAAGGATATATTTGCACCGTTTATTAACCCTGTGCTATTGTTCGATCATTTAAAGAAAAGATCCCACATGGTCTGAGAATTAAGAAATTTCCTTCATTCGGGGCTGATCATTTGGACTGAAATAAGTGGAAAACAATAATGAATAAATGCTCTCTATAGATCTCATCCTTCTCCCCAATAAGGAAGCTAAAAAAAAATTAAATGCAAAATGAAATAGATTTATTTTCTTTTAACCCAAAATTGTTTTAAATTTATTAATTAATTTTCCTCTATATTTAAAAATATTTTATATTTTATTTTTGTTTAACAATTCAATTAATGTATATTTTTATTTTGTATTTTACTACAATGTTTGATTTGTGTAGGAGTTGGTTGGTTAAAGCCATTCCCACTAATTAATCTGGTCAACCAGCTGTTTTGATGATCCACTGATTGTCAATAGTTTAAAGAATGTTTGTGTGAGTAATGGATGTGTTTCCTGAAGAATGTGTATTCTGTGTCAAGCTGAAATGTGTTGATCAACTCTTTTAGGCCCAGTTTCACAGACAGGGCTTAGATTTAGCCAGGATTAGGCCATAGTTCAATTAGGACATTTAAGTAATTTTTATAAACGTGCTTAGAAAAAAAACATTACTGGTGTGCTTTTTGAGACAAAACAAAGGCACTGATCTATTTTAAGATCAGTCAGTGGATTTTTCTTTCAGTTGAAACAGCTCAGACTTATTCTAGGACTAGGCTTAAAGGAACACTCCACTATTTTTGAAAATAGGCTCATTTTCCAACTCCCCTAGAGTTAAACAGTTGAGTTTTACCGTTTTTTAATCCATTCAGCCGATCTCCGGGTCTGGCGGTAGCACTTTTAGCTGCAGCTTAGCATAGATCATTGAATATGATTAGACTGTTCGCATCTCGCTCAAAAATGACCAAAGAGTTTCTATATTTTTCACCCTGAGAGCCACAAATAAAGAGAAAAGGTCTCCCCCTGGGTATCTTTTCTTCACTTCAAGTCCTCAAATGAGCTAACTTCACTTTATCATGACAGCTTCCTACCGGAGGACGTTCACCTCCTCAGTGGCCTTCAAGAAACAAAAAGCCACTGCAAAGGCTGGTATTGATCCAGCATTATTTGTTAATTATAATTATCAAAGAGCAATATTCAGTTGTCAGTGTTGTTGTTGTTTTTTTTTCTTGAGTGTCTCACTATAGTTCCCACAGTAAATGCACAAACTTGTTTACCTTCAATGGAATGCAAGTTGCTTTGGATAAACATCAAATGTATAGTGTTGTCATAAATAAATCATTACACTTAAACATATGTTGCAACAGTACATACAACATCTCCAACCTGTTCTGTTATTTCCTATTTATAATACTTCTTGTTGCATTGCATTGCTATTCTTGTTTTGACAACTGTATCTCTGCCATGGCATATGAAGTGAACTTTTCATTGGTTCTAAAACTAAAAGCTGCCTAGGTTTTAAGTAGCTATTTTGGTGTTAATAATTTTGGAAATTACAGTTATAGAGGAGTTGAGGTAAGCCTCCCAGACAGCAGCTCTGACTCAAACACATTATTTTTATTGCATCATACTCAAGTCATTGTTTTGAAGTAACATGAGCATGCTGTTAGAGCAAAGTGTAAATGTCTCATCATGGTGCACTTTTTGCTGGTGTTAAATGTTTTATTGCTGTCACAGCTGTTTTCACAACTTACGATTTTGACATATGTCCTCATCTCTCTCTAGAATCTGTTATTTGAATGTGGAAAAAAAATATCTTGATGTAATCATCAGTCCCATGTCACTAGGTTTCAGTTGCGGGTAGTTGTAGTTGTACTTAAAAGACCTTTTTGTAACTTTAAACGTTCACACACACACACAGTAAATAAAAATATAATATGTATTGGTCTGGGTTTTGTAATTTACATACTATATTACAAATATAAATATGTTGGGATATTCCCGACAACCCTACAGTGAAGAATGGATGAATGAAAATATTAGAATTATGCACACTGTTTATTTGTTATTTTAACCCATCCGTCCAGGATCATTTGCCCCACATTGTACAGGTTTGGTGTCAGGCACCTTCATTTTTAAACAGCGCCACGGGTTCTCAGCAGACATCAGACATTAGAATGGGCAGGCATTCACCCTGAACCACGAAATGATCATGTAGCTATGAGTTGGTTTTTTTTTTTCAGACAATGTGGTACTCATGTTAATGATTCACAAGTAGAGTAATTTGTGTGGTAATTGTCTGTCAGTGAAATTTCTTTTGATTCATGTAAACCTCAGATGAAACAGCTGAGACTATTTTCAAAAATAGTGGAGTGCTTTAAGCCTTGTCTGTGAAACTGGGGGTTAATGTTTTAATGACTTAGCCCAGTTCATTAAAGGCTTTTTAGGTTGAACCATGTGAGTGCCTTGGAATATTTTGTTGTTTCATTTATTATTTACCTTTCATGTATCTAATGAGCAGCAGTGGCTATGAATTTATACCTCTGTTGCATACGCAGTTGCTTTGTTTATTTTATTCTATTAATTTTTTTTTCTTTATCCGAATGGTACTAAATTTTGTGGCACTTGAACGTACACACACACAAAATGTGGACATGATTTGAGACGGTTTTAAAAAATAGTCACACTTGTACATTTTGTGGTCAAAAATGACCTCCATACAAAATTTATGGGAAGAATACAGAACAATTTTTTTTTGTGGTACAATCTACAAATCAGCCATGATGCAGAAAAAGAAATCACACATCAATGAAGAAGATAAACTCAAGAAAAAACATCAAGAGTGCAAAATAGACACCACACACACATGTATGCACATACACATATGAACTGGTGTGACTGTAACACAGAGCAAAGTTTTGTAAATTTGAGAAACAAAATCAATAATTAAGCCAAAATGCTGAAAAAAGCACATAATGAAGAGGTAAGAGTAAGATGTAGGGATGGACATATTTTTATTGCACAATGGGGAGAGCATTCATGCTGTTCATGAGGTAGATTGCCTAAAGAAACTTTTTAGTACCTGGCTGTCCTGGTGTTCGGTGCTCTGTAGAGCTGACCAGACGGCAAAAGTTCAAGAAGGAGATGGCTTGGATGTGAGGGATCCATGATTTTCTGAGCCTTTGTCCTCATGTATACAGTTCTGGAAGGGTGGGCAAGGGAACACCAATAATCCTTTCAGCAGTCCGAACTGTCCTATGTAGTCTTCTTCTAATATCTGATTTTGTAGCTGAGCCAAACCAGACAGTTATTGAAGTGCACAGAACAGACTCAATGTTGGCTAAGTAGAACTGTGTGAGCAGCTCTTGTGGCAAGTTGAACTTCCTCAGCTCAACAGCCTTTGTTGGGCCTTTTTAACAATGGAGTCAATGTGACTGTCCCACTTCAGGGCCTGAGAGATGGTGGTGCCCAGGAACCTGGGTTTCAGAGACAACTGGACAAGTTTTTGGACCTGCACTCAGTCAGCCATCACACCTGCCACGGATTATCACTTCATCAAGACTCTCATATAAACAGTCACTCTCCGTTGTCTGGTCTTGTTGTTCCCTACAGAACTGTTTACCTGACCACTCATCTTGAACTCTTAATTTTTTACTAATTTTTCTTAAATTATTTTATATGATTTGATTTGATTTTGATTTTAATATTTCAATAACATCGATTCAATCTCAAATTATGATGATTCATTCAAAATGTTTGATAAACTAGGAGGAAGTAGTGTGCACTCAGGATTTTTCACAGGCCGTGCAGTCTCATGCAAAGCACTGATGTCAGAGCATGGATGGTGTTATTGCAAAACCTTGTGTATTATTATCACATATTAAACATTTCACCTTTCAAATAAAGTTATTTCAGATATGTGGATGACATTGCTAAATATCGTTACAGGTCATTAATCAATAAAATAAAAATAATGATGTGCAAAAAAGTCCCCTTTCCAAATTTTACATTTATGCATTTGCAGACACTTTTATCCAACGCAGTTTCTTTCATTGCATTTGAGGTATGCATTTTATCTGTTCATATATTCGCTAGGAATTGAACCCATGACCTTAGCGTTGCTAGCATTATGCTCTACTACTTGACCCACAGAAGCCAATTGCAAGTTGGCAATGTTACTGGTCTTTATTACAGTTATACAGATCGGTGAGACAAGAAAATATGCTAAAACTGTGGTTGAAAATTGCTGAATATATAAGAAATAAGTAACCAAAGGATTTTAATCAAATATATGTAAGAAAATTTAATACAAATGTACAATTTCTCCCAGGAAGTATTAACAGCCATAATACCACCATGGATATTCCCAGAGTATAGGCTAAGGTGTTTATAAATAATTGAAATAGCTGAAAAGACAAATGGAATAGAGAATGGAAAGAACAATAAAACATAAAAAGAATACATAACATACTATATGGGTATTTAGGAATATATACAGATTATTTTGAAGACACAGTAAAACTGACATGTCTGTAAGGACACATTTATCCTAGAATTCAACATAAACATCAATAAAACAATAATTAATAATGTAGCTATATACACAGCAGAACTAAGTGGGTGGAGGAAGTTAAACCAGACAGAGTGATGATTTATTCAGATTCAGCAGCTG